CAAAGATCAAAGACTCCCAGATGTGGGAAGATTTGAAGATATGATGTCAGTTTTCCCATTCTAAAACATTCCAATTTTACTTTATCCTCGTTATTTAACAAGTTAAATTATTTAAAATAAAATAAGATAAAATAGCATCATAATGTTGGAGACCGGGACTTTTTTTTTATTTTAAAAACAGTATTTTATTGTTTAAATTATTTTAAACTATAAAATATTTTTTTATTTTAATTTGATATCATTTTAATGAGTCTTTATTCCTTTGTTCTTTTTATTTTTTTTCCTTTTTTGAAGTGATACAATTTTTGGAAGAATTAGAGAAGGGGTCCAAGATTCTGGAACCTTGGCCGGCCGGGTGGCCGGGTAACGACTGCAGCCTCCACCCACCCTTTAAATACTCTGTTGAAAAAATTAATAATTCCAAAATTCCTAGTTTAGTATCTTAACGTTTGCATGTTAGTTTCCGATAAAAAAAGAAATGAGGGATTTTCTATTGTGCCCTTAAGGGCATCGGATAGTAAGTATTTATTAAGGGATCTTATGCTAATTATAAAAAAAATTTATGGATTAAGTCATTGTAATTAATTAAGGGTTTTTTATTTTTTAGTTAGATTAAAATACCCTCATTTGTTTGCACCGCAGACTCCCTTTTTTCAACCTTTCCGTCTCCATCCTCCAGTCTCTTCTGTTCTGTTCCCCAAATTTTTTCTCTCTCCTCTCCCTAATCTAACCCAATTGAAAGTGATTTATTACAATAAGAGATCCCAATAAGAGATAGTTTTTTTGGCAAATCATTTTATTAGTTTCATTTTCATTTTCTGCTCTTAAGTTTTTTTTATTGTTTTTTCAAAAATTTGAAGTTTTTTGAATTTTACCTTTAAATTTTTTTTAAAAATTGGGTTTTCATTTGGTTTGGCTTGGGGGGCGGGGGGGTAAAAATTTTGGGGACTTAAGGGGGGAAAAATGGAAGATGGAAATTGAAAGGCCGGAAAAAAGGAACCTAGAATGTGGACAACTGAGGGCATTTTAGTCTTATAAAAAAACTCTAATTAATTACAATGACTCAACTCATAAAAATACTTTTGTAATTACTATCAGATCCTCTAATAAACGCTTACCACATAATAGAAAATCCAAAATAATAATAATAATAATAATAAAGATCCGTTTACATGTTGCTACTCTAGTACTCTCTATATTTTAGAATTCAATTTTGCAATTAGGAGAAAAATAAGGAGAAAGATGTGCTTGACAAAAGATCACTAGAATAACAAGTACTTTTAGATACAAAATAAACTTCAATCCCATCAAGACCAACCTTAGTCGATTACTGTAACAAGCTTTAACATATTTAATCAAGCTTAGCAGCTGTCAAAACCATTTCCAAAGAGCAAAACAAGAGCAAAATGGATTCAACAGGATGTACAGATATGAGAGGAGGAGTTTTTCACATCCTTCCTATGTAGCCCACCTCATTTGTAACACCAGTTGCTGGAGTTGTCTCTTGCACAACCCGAAAGATGCTAACATCCAGAGTGAAGGTGTGATTCACATTTTGCTTAGCAGGGGTGAACACACATACATCTGATTCCTCCAAGCAGTTTTGAAGCGAAAAAAACTTCCACCCATCATTAAACCACCCGTGCGTACGGGAATATGCACAATCAACCCTAACTCGCCACATTTTCTCATTCACTCGGAGAATCACATATTGGCTGCCATTAAGGAAGTGGTCTTTAAACCACTTACTAGTAATATCCTGCATGAGATTTACCCCGAAGAACAATTCAACAGAGATTAATTGTACTGATTTGAACCCTATGCATCCAGAAATTAAGGCATAACCTAAATCCCTATACCACTGAAAAAAGACAATATATTACCAATTGGAATCTCTCATATACATTAGTCAGTTCCATAACCTTCACCAGGCTGTCTGCGGTTGCTGCAGCACGTGCAAGATTCAAGGCAGCGGCTTTCTCCTGCTTGGTTACTGGCCTTCTATTTGACGCATACAGTGAGTAGTACTTAATCACATTACTTCCTACAGATTTTTGTGCCGCATCTGGATCATTAGCATATTACATAGAATCAGTCAACTGATATATTTTTTAGCCAAATGCTGTTGATTTGAAGTGTTTCTAAAAAGGCAAACACTTAACAATGAAACATTGAACAAGTAATTTCTTCTTTTACCATAAAAATTGACTGATTTCTAAACATGAGCAAGAAAAGATAAAATAAAACAGCATCGAACCAAACACCCTGTGAGTTGGACATACTGTTAACTGCGACATCTTCTTCAATTACTCTTTTCTTTGTTTGGCCTTTGCTCTCATTGGTTGTCTCTGTGGAACTTTTGAGAAAATATGAATCTTCCTTCTCGCACAGGCTTTGATCAAACAACAGCACGTCAAAACAGGACTCCCCATTGTACTGAAAGATCAAAAAATCATTCTCTGCCAAAGAGTGATCTTTCACGAATTTTTCCCAACCATCCTTGAAGAACAAGGTATCATGTTTGGTAACCAATCCCACATCCCACGTGACACCGCTAGGACCTCTAAGTGTCACACTTTCAGGGAGTTTTTTTTTCAAATTACAAGCAAATTTTTTGGGTATAGCCTGCAAAAATATGTAGAAGTCTAGAATCAAATCACAACTTGGGGGAAAAACTTGATGCAATTTATTGGACATGCCATATAGAGGAAGAACAGGAAGAAACATGTAATTTTGTTGCAAGAACTATGCTACTTTGTTAGAAAAGGGGCGAAAGCATTGTCTTAGTTGCATAAGTAAAACATGGAAAAGAGAAACTAACAAACAATTGAGAGATCAAGTATGAATTTTGGCTTTGGATTTTAGTTCTAAGTTGTAGCTCGTGTTGCTTTGATTCTCACAAGCATATTGCCAAAAAAACAGAGAAATAACAAACACAAGGGATCAAAATTGACCCACTTACAAGCTGCTTGTGAAAATCTCCAGAGAGATGGGATTTGAAGCGAATGCAGTGAAAATGATTCCAGTAGAAGTTCTCCTTCCATTTCTTGTTCCCGTTGCTTGTCTCTCCCATTTCACCACCAATCCAGAAAGATTCGAACCTTTATCAGAAATGAACCAAATATTCAGATATATTTTCTTCTTTTAAAAAACAAATGTAGTGTATTGAAATTTGAAAAGATTGGTAATTGCATTCCAGTACATTTTGAAGTAAAGAAAAATAAAAATATT